TTGTGTTATCCATCATCCGTCGGTGGCCACTCGGGTCGTTTCCGCCTTTGGCTGTTGTGAGTGATGCTGCTGTGGACATTCATGTACCAACCTCTGCGTGGGTGTATGTTTTCGTTTCTCTTGGGTGTGTCCCTGGGAGTGGCTGGCTGGGCCACACGGCAGCTCTGGGTTTAACTGTTCGAGGAACCACCCGCCAGACCGTTGCCCACAGCAGCTACACCATCTCAGATCCCATCACTTGCTTGTGTGAGGGTCCCGATTTCTCCATGGCCTCGCCAACCCTTGTTGTCTTGCCATCCCAGTGGGCGTGGGGGTGTCTGCTGGGGGTTCTGATGTGCGTTCCCCTGAGGACTGATGGGGTTGGGCAGCTTCTTGGCAGTCTGTATGTCTTCCTTGGAGAAATGTCTGATCAGATCCTTTTCCCGTTGTTTAATTTGGCCACTTTCTTTTTATTACTGACTGGTCAGAGTTCTTTACAAGGGTCTTTCTGAGTTGCACCGATTCGCATGTGCATTTGGAACCCAGGGCTCCAGGCTTGTTGCTGGGAGGGGCAGGGCCAGGGAAAAAGCACGATCCCAGTGCCTATCGTGGGTCTCACTTTCCTCCCCAAACCTGAGACTGGCAGCCAGCACCAGAGGACCTTTCGCCACTGGTGTCCACCCTGTCCCAGTGACAGTGGCTGCCTGGGGAGGCCTCAGCTGCAGGGTTAGGCTCCCATCCATCCTGGCAGGAGAGAGAGCCTTCCAGACCCACCGTCCTCCTGTGCCAGATGCCATTTCTCTTTGGGAAACCAAGAAAAAACAAATAGATATATATTTTGAGGAAAATTAGACCTCAGCTAACATCCACCGCCTATCTTCCTCTTTTTGCTGGGGAAGACTGGCCCTGAGCTAACATCTGTACCCATGTCCCTCTATTTTATACATGGGACGCCTGCCACAGCATGGCTTGATAAGGAATGCATAGGTCTGCACCCAGGATCCGAGCTGGCAAACCCTGGGCCACCTAAGTGGAGCGAGTGAACTTAACCACTGAGCCACAGGCCCGGCCCAAGAAAATATATTTTTAAATGGCCCCAAAGCCACTGAGCAAACCTTGGCACCCTTGTCCGCACGGAGAGGCCCCATCCCCATGTCATCTTTGGGGACGTCCCTGGAGACCCCCACCTTACGAGGGGTCTCTGGGGCTGGTGCCACTCCCAGACAGTGGTGTGGAACCATCTTTGGCTCCAGCCAGTCGGGCCTGCTCCCTGCTCTGCCTTCCTTCGGGCTGTGAATTATTGATGCCGAGGCGAGCGGTCCGTGCGCAGAGCTCATGAGGGCCGCTGCTGTGTGAGCTTCGTCTTTCTTTGTGGTTTTTCTGTTTCTCTTTCTGTTGGGGGTGGGGCTGGAGGCTGAGAGCAGTGGCTGCGGGAATTACATTGGGTGAGGGCTTACTTTAAAACAGGAACTGTCCCCGGCCACACCAGGAAGCTGTTCCCAGGAGTCAGGCACAGCCCTGCCTTGCATTTTAGTGGCCTTCTTCGCGCCATTACCGTGCTTCTGGGCGCTGGCTCCCTGGGGATCCTGCATGCTCTCCTCGGCCTCGCCCAACACTCGGGGGCCCAGTGGAGGGCTGACTCTGGGGGACTGACACCCACTGGATCCCCAGCTCCCCGCTCCTGGGAAGAGCTGCGGGGTCCCCTCTGGGGTCTGGCAGGGAGAGGCCCAGGGAGGGTGAGGGACTGGGGCAGAGGGATGTGGCCGCAGCCCTGCCTGGTGAGGCCGGAGGGGGGCGAGGGGAGGGTTCTGGGCTGGCGCCTGCTCTGTGCCCATCTTCCCAGCGCCACCCCGGGACCCTGTGCTTGCTCAGCCCAAGGGCTACCACGTGTCTGGGGAGGGCTCGAGGGTGGCGTCTGGTTCTGGAAGGCAGCGCCCACTGTCTACGCCTCCCACGCTGGAGCCGGGGCTAATTCAACCTAAACCCGCGGTCTCATGCCAGTGGGCGCTGGCAGGAGAGGTGGACACTTCCCTCTGCTCGGAGCCCCTGTCTCCTCCCCTAATCAGATGGAGAGCTCCTCAGACCTGCTAAGGGCTCTGCGTACAGCAGGTGCTCAGTGCATGCTGTCAAGGGGAGGGGCCTCTGGCCACCACCTGGTGCTGGGGAAGGAAGGGCCCAGCTACCCAGAAAGCCAGTGCCCACATCAAGCAAAGAGCCACGAGCGTCCGCTGAACACCTCCTTTGTTGGGCTGTGGGTGGGAGGGGTTGGCCTTCATGCTGGCCACCTCCTCTGGGCTTGGTGCATCCCCTCCCGTCTCAGGCAGGTGTGCCAACCCCCCCTGATTACCGAATTTCCTCAGGAACTGGAGACAGCAAGTGTCAGGGCAGAAGAAGAGCTGGCGGTGGCAGGCAGTGATGGGCAGCACCCAGGGGTCTCCAGGTGCCAGGGAAGGGCTCCCTCTGCAGGGAAGGGAGCCTGGTAGTGCCCCAGTCACCAGCCCTTGGAAAGTGGCTGCTCTCCAGGGAGAGGCTGAGCGCCAGGCTGCCAGGCTGAGGGCAGGGCCCTTCTCCTCCAGTGGCCCCAGCCTGGCCTTGCCCCTGGAAAGCTCAGTCCATTTCACTCCTTCCCTGGGCAGAGCCAGCCCTGCCTCCACTGAGATGCTGCCCGCTCGGCTGGGGCAGGGGGACCTGGTCTCACCTTGAAGTTACCTTCAACTAACTGCTGGGCGCCCACAGACCAGCTGTGTGTGGACTCCCTGTGCTGAGGGGATGCTGGGGGAGACAGACCCTACCTCTCCGCCTGGGGTCTGCTCAGCATGGCTGAGCGGTCACCGGCAGGCGGGCAGCAGGTCTTGTCTAAGCCCCTACCCAGGTCCAGAAGATGCTTGAGTAGTTAGGACTGGAGGCCTTTGGGCAGCCTGGCAGGCCAGGGACAGCTGTTCGGGGGGCCGAAAAGCAGAGAGAGCAGGAAGCAAATCAGCAGGGCTTGCTGGCAGGTGGGTGCAAGCAGAAGTGGGGGGCCGCCCGTGCAGACCCCTTGTCTGCCCCAAGGGCACTGAGCCGCCCTTGGCAGCCCTGGTCTGGGTCCTGCCCTCCCTGGGCTGTGCTGGCACCTTCTGGATTCTGCGTGAGTCCTGCCCTCCTGTACCCCAGCCCTGACAGCAGCCAGTGGGGACCAACGGGGACCCCAGGGTGGCTGCACTCCAGCCTGGAAGCCCAGGGCAAGGCCTGCTGGCAGCTCTCCCCTCTTGGGAATCTGTGTACATCCCGACTTCCTGTCTCGAATCCTCGCTCCCTCCCACCTCCCTCGACGAGGTCAGGGCCTCCTTAGTCGGATGAACCACCAGGGTGCCTGTCTCCCTGTCACACAGTTATACGTTCATCCCAGTCCTGCCACATAGAAGCCACGTGTGGCCTCAGGCAAGTGATTGGATTCCTTCATGCCTCAGTTTGCCCATCTGTAAAATGGGGGTTAAATAAGAAAATACACGTAAGGGGTCCTAACGCTGTCCGTCGTTGTGCTGTGTTATCATTAACATCCGTCAGTCTTCATTAAGTGGCATTCTCCATGCTTGTGCTGAGTGGCAGATTCTGACCCTGCACGGGGACCCAGAGATGAAAATGCCACCTGTTCCCACCCAGAAAAGCTCCAGTCTGATAGGACAGGAAGACATGTGACCAGTTGAAGCACACGGAGCCACAGGACTTGCGGTTTACAAACGCAAACCACCGCATTCCCACATCTGCCTGCACGATGGGCAAGGCTCTGGACGCCGCAGGGCCCGTCGGCCAGAGCACAGGGAGCCGTGCCTGCGCAGCCTCGGGGGAGGCCTGTCGCAGGGCACGTCCCCGAGTCAAATGCCCCGCTCCTTGTCCTGGAGGTGCCACTTGTGGGTGTGAACCCACTGAGTCGCTCGCAGAGACGTTGTTTGTGAACTGGGGCAGGCATTGTGGCCTGTCTGCGATTCTGACCCACTGTGAATGCCTGAAATGCCCCTCGGCCAGCCGCTGGGTGGACAGGTTATGGTCCAGCGGAGCTTTGAGCAGAAGGCAGCCATACCCAGAAACCCCAGTGGCAGACGGGAAGAAGTAGGGACTCCCTTGCGGTGCCAACGGGCTGTGGACCGTTCTGGAAGGATGCTACAAGATTGCTGGCTGTGGTTCCCTCAGACTCCCCAGGGGCGGGGTGGGAAAGGCTGTAATTTTCTCGTCTGGTACTGTTTCCATTCGTTTTTATCAGGATGTATGCTTGCGTTCATAATTTAAGAAGAAGATGGAAAGAATTTGAAAAAGTGCAGGGGCGTGCAGAGGAGAGAACACCTTTTTGTTACCTGTGGCCTCCACGTCTCCCCAGGTCGCCCTCATGCCTGGGTCCCTGGCCTCCTGATGCAGGAGGGCTTTATCTAGTCCCTGTGGTGGATGGAGGGTGGGGGCCCCTCCTCAGACTGAGCCCACGGACACTGGAGCTTGTCACCCACTGACTCTCTCTCCCAGGGCAGGGATGGTGTGAGCCCCTGGTTCCCAGTGCTGGGCACACACCCCTTCCTTCAACAATTACCAGCGTGCCCCGTGGGCATGGTGCGCTCCCTGGTGGGCGCACAGTAGGTGTCCAGGCGCTGTTCCTGGCCCGAATGACTGCACGAACGACCCCACCCGGGGCCGGCCACCAGTCTGGCTGGTGCATTGCGCCGGGGCAGGTGGCACGCTGTGCTTGGATAGGGGTGGGCGGCGGGGAGACCTCCCTGGGCGCGTCCCCGGGGCGGGCGGGCTGGGGGCGCCGGGCCCGGGCGGAAGGAGAACGCCCGCCCGCCCGCCCGCGCCGCTGGGGGCCGCCCGCGGGCCGCGCCGGCCAGAGCGCGCCGTGCGCCCCGGGCCCCGCGCTGGCACACGCTCGGCGGCCGCGGCGGCGATACGAGCGGCGGCGGCGGAGCCGGGCCGGGCGGCAGGAATGCGGAACCGGCGCGCGGGCTGAGGCCGCCCAGGATGGCGCAGGGGCGGCGGCGGCGGGCGGCCTGCGCGGGGCTCTAGCGCGGCGGGGCGGACGCTCCCGGCCCGGCCCCGGCCTCGCGGGCGGGCGGCATCGCGGCCATGGCCAAGGAGCGGCGGAGGGCCGTCCTGGAGCTGCTGCAGCGGCCGGGGAACGCGCACTGCGCCGACTGCGGCGCCCCGGGTAGGTGCGGGCCCGGTGGGTGCGGGGCCCGGGTGGGTGCGGGGCCGGGGTGGATGCGGCCCGGGTGGTGCGGGCCGGTGGGTGCGCCCAGGGTAGGTGCTGGTCTGGGTGGGCGCCGGCCTGGATGCTCGCCCCGGGCCCGGGAGGGGTGCTGCGGCGCCTGCGTGGCCGGGGGCGCCGGCCGCGCTGCTTGGTCCCCGCTCGGGTGGGGCGCGGGCCCGGCGTGCACCTGCGGGGACCCGGACGTCGCCCGCCCGCGGCCCCCGGCCTCCGGCTGTGTCGCCTCCTCCCCTCCCCCCCAGGCTGCGTGTCTCGCTGTCACCCGGGGACCGCCGCCGCGTTGCGAAAGCCCCGGCTCCGCAAAGAAAGAGGAAATCGCGGCGGGCGACCGGCTGCAGGGGGAGGACAGGCGAGCCGGCCCGCCGGCTTCTTTGCGTGGGTGTGGGGTCCACCTGGCTCCCCGCCACCTGGAGGTGACGTCATGGGCCCCCGCCTAGAGCCACCCTTGTGCACTGCGCCCCGAGAAGGGGAAGGAAGCCCCGGCCGCCTCCACGTGGAGCCGGTGGGAAAGGGCTTCCCTTCCCCCCAGCCCCGCGCCTAGCTGCTCTGGGGCAGGCGGCCAGATCAGGTGGGGCAGGGGGGCAGGTGCGACTGGGAACGGGCACCCGGGCCACCTGCACCTCATCCTGCCAGCGGGCATCTCCCGGACTTTGCTCCTGGGTGGCCCCTGCTCTGGGTGGTTTCCAAGGCGCTGGCGTCCTGGGTGCTTCCTCTTCCTTCCCGGGGACGCTAGTCTTGGGTCGGCAGGAAAAGGAACGGCTGAGCTCTCAGACCGGCAGGCAGGACTCTGCTTCCGAGTGGGCAGCCCTGGCTGGTCCTCTGCGGGCGGGTGGGCAGGCACAGGCCCTCCAGGCTCACCTGCTCATGCCCCCACCCTGGAGGGTGGCCCAACTCAGGGGCTGTCCCCCTGGCACTCCAGGGGACACTCCACTGGGGGCTCCTAGTCTGAGCCCCTCAGAACAAACCTAACACATTCGGGAGTGGCCGAGGCCCCCGGGAGAGGGAAGGTGGGAAGACCCTGCCTTTGTCCCCAGACACCTGTTTGAGACGCGCAGCCTCTGGACACCCCTAGAATAGGACCCAGTCCCCAGCTCTGCTCTCTTGCCCCTGCGTGGGCTGGGAGGGGTCTCTGGCAGCCCCAGGTCAGCAGCTCGAGTGTCCCAGAGGGGAGGCAGTGACAGGCTTTTCTGCAAGCTGGGCTGGCTGAGAGGCCTTTCCGGCTCCCACCTCCCGAGGAGGGCAGCGCGGGCCCACTCCGAGGTGGGGGTGGCACCACCATGGCTGCTGTAGCTGCTCCTGCCAGCGGGGCTCACTCCACACTCTCCCCGCCCCCTCTCCCAGACCTGTATTTCCACTTGTTCCGAGAGCCGGCCGTGCTAGGGAGAGGCCGGTGAGAACGGGCAGTCAGCTCGGTCCGCTCTCAGCCTTGGCCTGGGGCGTGGGAGTCGGGGGAGGCCCTGCCCCTCTCCTTCCTGACCGCACTGCCCAGGAGCGGCTCCTTTGGACCGAGAGCCTCCCTGCAGCCGCCTCCAGGCCCCCCAGCCTGGCAGGAGGGCGAGGGGCTTCCTTGGGATGGTGTGCCCTGCAGCTGCCGTGCCCAGCCCAGCCCCTGGGGCCAGGGGCCACTGCCCCGAGCAGGCACACTGCCGTCTGGGGCAGGCGGCTCTGGGGAGCCCACCTTTCCCTGGTGTTGGGCCAAGCCCCTCGGTTTTCAGAATTGGCCCGTGACATCAGCATCCCGCCTCCTCTGCCTGGTTGCCCGAGGAGCAGGCAGGATGTGAGCAGTTGTCCCCGTCGTACAGAGACTGAGGCCTTGAGAGCTGGGGCTGTCTTAGGGGCGGGACGTGCTGTCTCAAAGGCAGAGCAGGGCTCCTACACCGGCCGCAGCCCGCCCACTCTGCCTGCCCCCTTCCAGCGTGCCCCGCTCCAGCCCTGCCTCCCCTCTCGCCCCCTCGGACGCTGCTTCTCAGCTGAAGCCCATGTGATCTGTCCACATTCTGTGCCACTGTGGGGTGCCTCTGGGGCCTCCTGTCCCTGCTATGGCCCAGATGGGCGACTAGGGGCCACTCTGGCATTGATGGGGGCAGAAGGGGGCACAGTGCGTTATGCTGTTGTCAGAGGACCGTCACACGGACCGGCTCCTGGCTGCTCTTCCCGCCCACAGCCAGCCAGGAGCAGGGCATCGCTGGCGTGGAGTCCCCACGGCGTCGGCTCTGGACAGCAGGGCGCAGCACAGGTCTGGGCGGCCTCTAATTGCCAGGTCTGGGGTTTTTTGGAGTGGATGTAGCAGACCTAGCCAGCTGGCCACTCGAGGGCAGCTGGGAGGGAGTCAGTCTGGGGGGTCCCTGCAACCCCCACAGGACCTGCTTCCAACCTTCCGCGTTATCTGCTCCAGCAGTGGACTCCCCCACACCCTGACCATGGGGCCCCGTCTGACGGCCTCCCTCCCAGGGGGCTCTTCTCGCTACGGACCGGGGGGCAGGCACACCTGAGTCCATTCCTCTGCGAGGCTTGGGTGGGGTCCCTGTCCTGGGCGGGTGGCGCCTCAGCGCTCCCTCCGGGTTGCCTGCCTAGTTGGGACAAATGATCTGTTCTCCCCTTTGAGCCTCAGGTCCAGTGCCCAGAAGGACGGGGTCTCAGCCTTTAACTGGGTTTTCGGGTGGGTGACAGTTGTGTGGTTCTTTGGTTCGCGTCGGCTGGCCATCTGCATCGCCCGGAGCAGCAGGTGAAACCAGTTCTGAGGGCTCTCCGGTGTGCCGGGGCGGGGCTCAGCAGGCAGACCTTCCTTTCCGACAGGTCGCGTGGTTTGGAGGTCCTGCTGCTCCGGGCGTGTGTGCTGTAGCCAGGACCCAGGGGTGTCCGCGTGTGAGAGTGGCCCTGGGGGCCGGTGCTCGAGGCTCAGCTGGGCCTGGAGTATGTGCCTGCAAGGCCAAGGCGGGGAACTCGCAGCTGGAGCTCCTCACTCAAGCCCAGAAGGCTTCAAGGCAGAGGTGACTTTTCAGAAATTGCTATAAGCCAGGCCAGGAGCATCTTGGTGGGAGGAATTGCAGGAATTTGGCCTAGTTTGAGAGAGGGTCCCCTGAGTGTGTGGCTGGCGGGGGCCTGCTGAGGGGTGGGCTGGGCAGACAGTCCCCCCTCCACCACGCTCCCTGGGGCAGCAGCCCACCTGGTTTTTGGGTGAAAAAACTTTTTTTTATTGTGGTAAAATATGCATGACATAAAAGTTACCATTTTAAGTGTGCAGTCCAGTGACATTAAGTACATTCACGTTATCGTGCAGCTGTCGCCACCACCTAGCTCCCAGAACTCTTATCCTGTAAATCTGGAACTCGGCCGCCATCAAACAACGACCCCGTGCCCTTTCCCCAGCCCCTCCGTTCTACTTTCCGTCTCTGTGAGTCTGACTCCTCTGGGAGCCTCACATGAGTGGAATCCTACAGTGTTTGTCCTTTTGTGGCTTATTTCACTCAGCTCAGTGTCCCCAAGGTTCATCCACGTGGTAGCAGGTGTCAGAATGTCCTTCCTTTTCGAGGCTGACTAATATTCCCTTTGCGGGGAGGACCCCGTGTGTTTATCCCTTCACCGCTGACGGAAACCTGGGTCGTTTCCACCTTCTGGCGATTGTGCATAGTGCTGCTGTGAACGTGGGTGTGCGGGTGCCTGCTTTCAAGTGTCTGGGGCATGGACTGAGGGGTGGAATTGCTGGTCATGTGGAGACTCTATGTCTGACTGCTCAGGGAACCGCCAGACTGTTCTCCTCACCTAGTTTCGTGCTTGGGCCACAGGCCAGCAGGACCGTGGTGCCTGCCCATCCGGCGGCCAGGTATGCAGGGCTGGTGCTGGCCACGAGTGGCACCCAGGGCTGGGGAGGGGCCAGGGCCTTTCCCTCTGCCTGCGTGCTTGGTGCCCTGGCCCTGACCAGTGCCCTCACCTCCCTCCTAGATTGCACCCCCCTCCCTGGCACGGCAGGCGTGGCCACCCCCATGTGTGATGCTGGGGGTGACTCACTGGCCGAGTTACCCCAGAGTGGGCTCCCTAAGTGCTCGGTTGAGCGGGGCACAGCCTGGCCTCTCCCTGCTCCCAGGGGTGTGACCTGGGCCTGTGCGCCGGATGCATCTCGAGCAGGGGGTGACATTGCCCCTGTCCCCAGGCCCCACATGCCGAGTTTGCTGCTGGCTTTAGACTCAGGGCGTTTACTAAGCCCTGCTCTGCGTTGGGTGCCTGCCAGCAGGGACGTCACCTGGTCACTTACTCCCCAGACCTTCGAGCTGGCTGCGTGATCCCATTTCACAAATAGAAGGACTGGAAGGGACTCTGCGGGCATCCAAGGTGGCAGGGGGAGGTCTGGATCCTCCTCGTCTGGTCTTATCCACTTCCTATCCCACCCTGTCAGGCCCCCTGCAGTCTGGGACCTGTACTTTTTTTCTTATGTCTATTGTGTTAAAATACACATAACATAAACTTTACCATCTCAGCCATTGTTGAATGTGCAGTTCAGTGGTAGTAAATGCATTCGCGCTGTTGTGCAGCCCTGGCCACCTTCCATCCCCATAACTCTTTTCATCTTGTAAGTGTGAAACTCTGGCCCCATTGAAGCCTCACTCCCCATGCCCCGCCCCGGCCCCCGGCCCCCGCCGTCCACTTTGTCTATGAATTCGACTCCTCTAAGTGCCTCTTAGAGTCGTGGAAGCGGAAGTGGGATCGTAGTGTCTGTCCTTTTGTGTCTGGCTTATTTCACTCAGCACAGCGTCCTCAGTGTTCATCCGTGCGGTAGCAGGTGTCAGAATTTCCTTCCTTCTTTTTCAACTGAGATCTGATTGACAGGTAACACTCTGTTAGTTTCAGGTGTACAATGTAATGATCGCCACACATAGGTGCACAATTTTTTTTTCTTGTGATGAGAACTTTTAAGATCTACTCACTTAGCAACTTTCAGATGT